TGGGGATTGTCATGAGTCGGAATCAAACTGGTGACAGTGAGTTTGGTTTGGTTTAGAATCTTCATGGGGAAGGGCCCCAGTAGTGCAATGGTCAGGTGCAAACAAAAAGGTTGGTGCTCTGAACCCACCAATATCTCCACAAGAGAAAAGACCTAGCAATCTGCTCCCATAAACATTGTAAACTAGGAAACCCAATGAGGCACTTCTACTCTGCCTTCCAGGGTCCAAGTGGATGGCATACAACACCAACAATCTTTATGGGAACACATCACCAAGTCTCTTATCCCACAGAGCCTCCGTCTGGGTTTGAACTGCAGAGTAGTCGAGTGCTTAACCACTGCACCACCAGGACTTCTGGTGATCACATGAACATTCAGGTTCTGATGCAGTAGGTTAGGGGCGGGGCCTGAGAGTCTGCATTTCTGACAAGCTCCCGGGGATGCCCATGCTGCTGACCAGGGACCACACTTGAGTGGCCAGTCTAGACCATGGGTGGGAGGGTCCTGAAATGCTGAAGGGTGTGAGTAGACCTCCCAGCAGTCAGATAATGTCACCAAGGAAGGATCTGGCCACTTGATTCTGACACAGGAAGCAGAGCACCGAGTCCCACGACAGCCTGGCAACAGGAGGGAGACGCCTGTCTGGTGAGCAATCACACAGGTAAGTGTAACACTGGTAATCCAGCTACAGCTGGGCTCCAATCAAAGACGCCCGGATCCTCTGCCGTAACCTATTATTCTCCTCAGGCACACAGTTTTGATTTTTTTTTTTTAAAAAAGAAGGGGGTGGAACCACAGGCAGGATTTTTGTTTTAAAAAGGGGTTTGGAGAGGAGATCCTCCACCTCGTCACATGTCATCTTTTTCAGACAATCTGCTCTCTCTGCTCTTCCTTCTGATGCGATTTTCCTGGTGACAGATTTTAAAACAGTCATCTCTTTACAAGGCAGCCTGAAAATGCTGTCCCCATAGAGATCCTAGAGATAGACGGATTTAGCAGTGGAGTTCTAGAAAGTTCCACAGTAGCAAAGGCACAGGGCATGTTTTGATTGGCATTCAAATTTACGTAGATCAGAGTGAGTGTGACAGAGCCCTGTCAACAGACCCGGGTACTTTCTTTAGTAATAACTAGTAATTAAAAACATACCAACACAAGTGTTTGAAAAATTTAAATATATATAAAAACCAAACTTACTGCCAATGAATCGGATCCAACTCATAGTGACCCCTCCGTGGGTTTCTGAGGAAGTATCACTATGGAAGTAGATTGCCCCATCTTCCTTCCAAGGAGTGGCTGATGGGCTTGAACTGCCAGCCTTCTGGTTAGCAGTCAAGTGCCTTAGGCACTAGGCTACCAGAGCTCATACATAGAAAGGTAAAAAATGAATAGTCCAAGTCATCCTGCGACCCTCTTCTCCTCTAACTGGCTTCGAGTCTTGCCGGGGGGGACAGTGGAGGGAACGGATTTTCTGTACCCAGATTTGGTTTTGCAGTCACCCAACAGGTACCTCCTTTTGGGTAGAGTTATCCTGGCCTCACTTTACACATCCTGATTTGTTTGCTTTTTCCCCTCAAAGCACCTTTCTGGTTTATTCTAATCAGAGTTTATCTGTTTAAAAACACTTGGAGAACCAGGAACAGAAGGAGAAGTGGTGGTGGGACTTGTCCCAGCCAGGCTTCCTAGCCGCGGCCTTGTGTGGGGCTGCTTTGCCAGCGGTCTGGCCACGCAGCCCTGACAGTTAGAGGTAAGTGGCTGTTATAAAATAATGGGCAGTGGGGTCTCTTACACCAAAGAGCTTGTCTGGGGTCCCGTTGCCATTGTTTTAGCTCAGCTGACAGTGCGGTCAGTTTCCATTAATTTTCCCGTTCGTCTCCATAATAAACGAAGTTGTTTTGTTGTTAGGTGCCATTGAGTCTGTTCGAACTCATAGCGACCCCATGTGATAGAGAACTGCCCCATAGAGTTTTCTTGGCTGTCATTGTTATGGGAGCAAATCACCAGGTCTTTCTTCCATGGAGCCACTGGGTGGGTTTGAACCACCAACCTCTGGATTAGCAGCTGTGCAGTTAACCATTGTGCCACCTGGGCTCAACAACATGGATAGAAGGTCTAGAAATACAGTGAAATCCCAACCCAGACACTGAGCCTGGAGCCGGGACAGCTTGTGGGCCCAGCTGGGGATTTTATACCTTACTGGTGCCTGCATGGTGGCCACAGACACCCAAGTGTCTCAGTTCATAAAGGCTCCAAGATGGAGCTCTGAGATGGGCAGATGGCAACAAGAAGGAGCCTGTGTTTCTACCTGCAGGCTGATCACGAAGGAGAACGGCAGGGAAACCAGGACTGCTTGCCAGTGGGCATCGTGTACTGGAGACGTCTGGTTTTGGACGCATGGATGGCGAACTTGTGTTATAGTTCATGTTATCTTTATTATTCCAGCACCTCCCCAGGCGCACTCTGACAAGCCCCATAATAGCAAATGGTTCCAATAGATTCTATGAAAAAGAATGCCAAAAGAAGTAACAATTATTTCCTAATTATAAAGTGCTCTTTTTTGCTAAAAATACACGCTGTTTTGCATGTGTGCTGGGCATGTGCTCCACTGGATGCGATGGGAGGAGCCTGCCAATGCCCTGGCTCGGTTTGTTGTCTTTGTGTTTGTTCTGCTCTGTTGGACCATGTGTCCCAAAGTGAACAGACCACATCCCTCCCCCAGTTAGATCTGCCATGCCACTTGGGGCTTGAATAGTTTTTTTTTTTTTTTTTAAATAAAATTACATATCACAGCTAAACACACACACACACACACACACACTTTTTTTTTTTTTTAAATAAAAAAGATACACACACACACAAAGGAAAGAAACATAAAAACCTCTTCTGCCTCCCAACTCATTGCTGTGCTACTGGCAGGTGCTGTGGCGTCGGTTCTGACGTACAGCGACCCCACGTACAACAGAATGAAGCACTGCCCCGCCTGTGCTGTCCTCGCAGTCACTGCTATGCCGGAGCCCATTGTTGCAGCCACTGTGTCAGCCCATCTCGTTGAGGATTTTCCGCTTTTCCCCTGACCCTCTCCTTTACCAAGCAGGATGTCCTTCTCCAGAGACTGGGGCCTCCCGATAACAAGTCCAAAGTACATGAGATGAAGTCTCACCATGCTTGCTTCCAGGGAGCATTTCAGCTGTACTTCAACCCAGATAGATTTGTTGGTTCTTCTGACAGTCCGTGGTATGTTTAATATTATTGGCTAACACCATAATTCAAAGGCATCAATTCTTCTATCATCCTTGTTCATTGTCCAT